TTCTAGCTTGTTTTATCAATTTATTATTTATGAACTATTAATTTTGTTACTCTGCAACTGAAATATAAATTCTTTCATGGCAAGTGAAATCCCCATTTCTGAAATATTTAGTAAGGGCTGAGGATCCACTGCCTGTTGCATTTGGCGGGTATGTGATATATTTAGTGAGTAATGACAGCTTTTGAAGAGTTGAATTCACTCAGATCTATTGTGAACTTAACTGCTATTTTTTTAAACAGCTGCTTCTGTTGCGAGGATATGCCTTCAACCATTCTGCTGATTTTGAAACTGTTCGCATGATTAAAGAAAAACTATGTTATGTGGGGTATAATATTGAGCAGGAGCAGAAACTGGCCTTAGAAACCACAGTATTAGTTGAATCTTATACAGTAAGTATTTTTGGTATATAATACATACTTTTCTACTTTAGGGTATAATTAGATATGAGATATTATCTGGAGAATTCTAGTATCTGGAATATCATTTCCAAACGTGTTTTACAGAATGTATTTTCCTGAGATGTTGATAAGTGTTTCACAGAAATTTTAAAAAGAGTCACATTGTCAAATAAGTTTGAAACACAGTAGGTTTTGCTTTGCTGCAGGACTATAGTATGCCTGTTTCTCCGATTTATTAGGCTGTGGAACTCTTGAGCATTGCATGGGACTAGTGTTCTATGGAAACATGCATATGTTGGCAAATGGTTATCCTAGAGTATTGCTTTAATAATTCAGTAGGTGGCAGCCTTTTCCTGACTTGATATTTTCTTCATGAGGTGTTCAAAACAAGTGTTAATTGGAAATTGTAACTAATGAGACTTAGAACCTAGTTATTGTTTACAACACCAAGGGGAGTTGATCCTGCCTGAATTTTTAACAAGTTACCATCTTAAGCCTATTAACTTCCATATCTCATCCTTGATCTTGTTATTACCAAAATGAAATAGAGTAATAGAAAATGAAAGCAAATTTTCTTAAACCGTTTGATCCATGCTAGCTCTAAATATTCATAAATATGTGCAAAGCGATCATTTTAAAAACAATTTAGAAATAATTGTAAATGTTTATAAATTAT